GACTGCCCTGGCAGCGACAGCAGCAGCAGCAGTTCTGGTCAGTGCCACTGCTCCTCCAGCGATTCCATGGTTGACTGCACTGAGGTCAGTAACCAGGGGGTGTACGGGAGCTGCTCCACCTTCCGCAGCTCTCTGAGCAGTGACTATGACCCCTACGTTTACCGCAGCAGGAGCCCTTGCCGGGTGGGTGAGGTTGGTGGTGCCAACAGGGCTGCAATTGTGCTCCTGGAGGGCCCCCACCAGGACGAGCTTCCAGCTCACAGTCACGGTATGGTGGGTGCTGACTGCCGGCCTGTGCCAGCTTCTTCCTCAGGGGACCAACTGTCTAACTGCAGCATGGATATGAACTATAGCAGTAATTCCTCACTAGAGCACAGGGATCCAAATGGCACTACCTCAGAGGGAGGACCTGAGGCCGCTCCTGGTGCTGCCTTGGATGTTAAAAGGAACTGGAAGAATCCAGAGATAGCAGGGTCAATTTCGGAGCAGGCGTGCGCGTGCTGCTTTGAATTCCAGCACTCTGCCCTGGAGCCTAGCAATGGGACAGCTGACTGTAGTGCACTCTTCCTTAGCTCTCCACTGTGGGGGACATGTGGCCAAGGAATTGAACCACAGTCAGGGAACACCCCAGGCTTGTACAGTATTAACTCAGACCACTTACATAGGACAGATGGGGTAAAATATGAGGGGTTGCCCTGCTGCTTCTATGAAGAGAAGCAGGTAGCCTGTAGTAGCAACAGTGGCAGTGGAGGTGGTGGCTGCTATACAGAAGACTATGCAGTGAATGTGCAGTACACGCTTCCCGACGACACCTTGCCAAACTGCTGTAAGGGTGTTTGTGATCTGGGTCAACGCATTCCCATAATTCCTGAAGACAGAGACTGTGAGCTGATTGTACCACCAGAGCACCAAGGGACCCACATAGGAGGCTGCAGCTCCTGGGAGGGAACACCTGAGCTAGACACTTACCTGCACTGTCAAGGTATTGGAGAGGTACAGGTCGAGAGGGAGGTGTGCTACGAGGCAACATCGTTCCTGCGGCAGAACTATTCTCAGGAGGACGAAACTGGAATGCCCTTTCCCAGTCCCACTCTGAGCTCCCAGAAGCTTATGATGACCACAAAGGCCACAGGTAACATATGTGCTTTTTTTGATGACTTGCTACCTTTCTGTGTTAGTGTATGAAATGCTGCCAGCTACCCAGGTACCTGCAGCCATAAGGGTTACTCCATCCTTCACATAAGAGCAGGTTATTGACTAACCAGTTGCCCCAGAGTATTATTCCTTGGTTACCTGTGCTCATTTGGTCATAGGCAGAGGAAGAGAAGATGATAACTTACTAATTAATCCATGATAACTTACTAAATTAACCCTCTAAAAGCTTTCATGCTCATCCTTTGTGGGGAGGGGCCCCCATTAGAGTTCCCACAGCAAGGGACACTCTGTTAGTCATGGCAACTGTGGTGAGTTGCCTAAGCAGACATTGCCACTGTGAGAAACAACAGAATAGCTGAAGGGTTTTTTTTTTTTTAAAGGTAAAAATCTTGTAATTACCATAGAAGAGTATGTGGGGAAGTCTCTGCTGTAGACATGGACAAGGGGGAAAAATACCACTCACAGAAAGAGGGGGATATTTCTTACTTGCCTTGCCAGGGTTATTTTAAAGGGTGTTCATAGAACCACAAGGTACCCTAGTTTGGAAGGGACCTCAGGCCCTAATCTAGTCCAAGTCCCTGCTCAAAGCTCTGATACCAGACCAAGTTTGTCAGGCCAAATGTATCCAGTCAGGCTGGATAAACCTTCAGGGACACAGAATGGTGTCCCTTTCTGGACTCCTGTGGCTGTGCTTGACTGCCATTATGGTCCAAAGATTTTCCTCATATCCAGTCTGAGCATCTCACACTTCAACTTAACTTCCTCACCTGTGGTTCAGAATGCATGTCTGTGAAGACTGTGGTTTCATCACTGGGACAGTCTCCATGCAGGCATTGCAAAGCTGCTAGGGATGCCTTTACTGCAGGCTGAACAGCCCAGATCCCTCAGCCTCCTCACACCAAGTGCTCCAGCCCTCTGAGCATCTTGGCTCTGTGAAACTCCAGTCAGTGAGTGTCTTGTTCTGGGGGCCCCAAAGTGTGTGCAATATTCTAGATGCAATGTTCCTTAGTTTTCTTTATCCTTCAGGTGCTGGATCTCATCCCTTGGAGAGAAGCCAAATCAGTGACTAGACCTGTCCAGATGATCCCAGATGGAGAAGCGGAGCTTATCAGAGACTCCAAATTCTCATGGACTTAATTTTTTTTAAGCTTTGACAAACACACAAAAGTGGTAATGTGGAGAAGTCCTTCCCCTACTTCCTCTGTGTTCACATCAGTTTGATTGTCTCCTTTGTCCCTCCTGCCTGAAGCCTTCAGGCCTTGATTTGTGTGCAAAGCCCATGTGGGACATGGTGTGGAGCATTTCTGAGCTCTAGTGCCATTTCTATATTAATGACAAAGTGTTATTTATATTTTCTTTTTAGAAGTGACCTCTTGCTGAGAGGTAATACAGTGTGTTAAATAAGCCAGGCTATGTGTAGATGCTGTTATCTCCTACTTGAAGGAGTCCAGCCTTTGATAAGCTCAGGGCTACACCTGCCTTAGAAACCAGATAGCACCTTGAAATATAGTAATCCAGAGGGATACAGCTGCTGAATGGATGCTCAGATACTGACTAATCCCAGTAGCAAATCCTAGCAGCCAGCAAGTTATGTGAGTGATTTTGAGGGAGGTGAAGCATTGGACTGTCTCCTTTCTCCTCTTCCCTTCTCCCCCCTTTCATGCTGCTCTGATGGTTTGGCTAGGAGGGTGTCCTGCCATTAGGATTAGTTTCAACAGAGTGGGGGTAAGGAACCTGATAGCTCAGAATGTTCTCATCCTCACTTCCTGTATTTAAACCGTGGACCTCATTGTATCTTCTAACCAGTGAAGAATGCTGGGGACCTCTCCCTCAAGTAGATGCTCCAACAAAGTGCTTAGAAAAGGTATTACCTTTGTAGGTAATGAACTTTTCCTTCCATAGGAAGTTTTTCAGGCACCTGTAGCCCCTGTTACGGCTGTGAGGAATGCTGGCATGTGCAGGAAAACAGAGCTTGCAGTGTGCTCGCAGCTTTGCTGGCTCATTTTGGAAACAGGGTTTCTTGTTTCCTTACAGGCTGCAAGCATGCCTAAGGGAAGCAGTGCTTGTCACCTTTTGTGTGTGTGGGAAAGTGAGGGACTTGGTTTGATCATTGTTTTCTTCTTTGCTGTGGTTGATGTAGCTTCCATAGATTGATCTGTTTTAAAGGTTTCTTGGGCCCAGCCGGTTGTGCTTCATTTTTGTCTTGTGTACAGAGTGCTCTCTGTACCCCATCAGCCTGGGCACATACTTTTGTTCTTGTTCTTGTCCTAGTGGGGATGTTTGTTATCATGAGATAATTTATGTCGTCACTTCTGATAGCAATTGTTTCCTGTGGAAACAGCAGCTTCTGAGTAAGAGGCTACCATAGCATGGGTGAAATTGCCTGTCATGCTGCATGTGCCTGAGGACACAGTGTCATCCTGTGGTGTATTCACAGCAGGAATTCTTCTAAAGGGAAACTAAGTATTTCATGCCCACAGTGCCAGTCTTCTGAAAAGATTTGTCCTAAGTTCACTTCACTTTGGAGATACTTCAAAGACATGAAATGGAGATGTACACTTCATATTCTGCCAAAGCAATGTCCTTGACAGCACTGGGCTGGTTGTGAGAGCCAGCAAAGCTAACTTGTATTCTCTGTAGTCCCAAATGAACTATTTTAAACAAGGAAACAGATATAACAAAGAGATAAGAAATAACAAATACATTAATCTATTTCCTTTTGCTTTCATATCCAGTAAGTTAGGAAAAAAATTCCACCTAAATGAATTCACATTACATCTTTTCAGTCAATAAGCACCAAAATTCAGCTGTTCAGAGAATTAATACAAGGCAATATCTGGGTATAAGATTAAAAAGAATCAATAAACACATTTTCTGTGTATAAAGCTTATTAAAAACTTATTCATTCTCTGAATGACTGAAGTAAGTGGTATGTGTTGGGAGAACAAACTCTAAAGGTTTGTGATTTGGGGAATTTTTTTTTTTTAATTTTTATGTCTGACCCTCTCCTTCCTTCACTATAAAAGAAATGCATTGTAGACGCTGTGGTATACCAGCTTGGTTATTCTGCTTGGTGTTTTGTGAGGCACTGTAAAGGCCACCTAAGATACACTGTAACTAAAACAGCATATTGTGATAAGAGTGGTTCTTAAAGATTGGAATATTCTGGCTCCTGGTGATCCCAGATGTACTGGTCCACACATTGTGGAAATCTGCTGGTACAAGTCTCTGCAGGCCATACCACAGACACCCCACACCTGCCTTCTGTGCTGGGTCTGACATTTAACATAAAACTCTATGTGCAGTGCAGACTTACAGGCTAGCTGGCCATGATAGATGGTTTTTATAACAAAATGCCTTTCTACTACTTACCTGAACAGTTGTCATTGTGTTTGGCTCATGAGGCACTATTTAAAATGTTTTTAATTAAAATTGTCTTATAGCACTTAAAATTGTTTTGTATAAAATTTGCTGTAAAGATTTGTAATATGGTCAAAGGGCTCTTTCTCCTTCATTACCATTTTTAAAAATGTTTTAAAAGCTAGAAAGAATCTTGTATATATTCTGTATATGTATAGCAGCACATTTCATGTATGGAAATATGTTCTCAGAATATTTATTTACTAATATATTTATCTTAAGCCATGTCTTATGTTGAGAGTGTGTGACATTATTGTAATAATCACTGAAAATCACTAACACGAGGCCCTGTAAATACATGATAATTGCACACAAAGATTTTACAGTACTTGCCGACCAAAAATGATTTAAGAGAAGTGTAGTTACTTGCAGTTTTGTAAGAAAGTGTACAAATGTCTGTATTAAAAGAAAAAAAAAGGCAAAACCACACAAAAAATACAGTTTTATTGCATATACATGTGGGAGTTGTCCTTCTTGTTTTGGGGGAAAAGGACATAGGTAACTGTTCTCAAAAGTATAGTCCTAGATATACTGAGATGAACTCTAATAAACAACATTTTTTCCTTTTTTTTAAACAGCAGATAGGTGGATATGTATATGCCTTTCCACAGCACACCAGGTATTGGGGAGCAGTGGGGGGCAGGTGTCACACAAGCCCCTGAGCCCCCCAGGCACATGAGAAGTACCACACCTGCTAAAAGAAATCTTCATTTATGTTTGGAACCTGCCTGTTCCTCGTGTCAGGGAAACTTAACTCTGTTGTTATTTCAGCTAAAAGTAATTTATTGTCCTGAAATAAAATTGTTTTGAGAGAGCATGATACAGGTGGGCACAGCTTGAATAGTCAAGCTAGATCCAGGTCCTTGCCCTGGATCGTGGAATCGCTGGTGCTGCTTAATGCAAATCAATACTTTGGTACTTGTTTTGTCAGCAGGGAGCACAATTTCATCAGAGATGTTTATGCAGGCTCCAGAAGAGGGGAGCCTGGGGGGGTGTGGCTCCATGTGTGTATGTACATGTGTATTTATGTATGTTGCTGTGTAAACAGTTCACCTTCTGTATTATTCATTTCCCATCCAGTGATACACTCACAGAGACTCTTCCAGGATTCTTCTCCCAGAGATTTTCACCTGGTAATCCCCTGGACTTTCCCCATCTCTCAGCCACGTTCAAATGCACTGTAATTCAGTCACCTCAGGATTCAGCCAAGAAATGAGCCTTACTTCTCTCCAGCCCTCCTTGTTTCATATGTGGTAACACCATTTGGGATGACAGACTGTTCAAGGGTATTATTTTATAGGGGACCCTTCACAGCGTAAGCAGCAGTTCCCATCCTGATCTCAGGTACGATGGAAAAAAGTCTGGTCTGTGTGGGGAGACAGGCACAATAATGGAGGAACAACAGGAGCAGGTGCTTCCAGTTAAAGTATGTGCCCCTTGTTTTGCTCAGTGAACAGTTTTGGCAATTGCAGTGATTACTGATATGCCTTTTATATGCAAATTAGTTCACAAAACACGTGTATTTTTACAAATAGCATAAAACCCCCGTGTGTGGGTGGCTGGTAGCTCTTATGTTGACAGGTCAGATCTGAATCTCCCTTCTATTCCCTCCCTCCCTCAACCCCCCTGTTTGCTGTTGCTGGTGTTCTGGTTTTTTATGAAGCTGATTGTGCTTTTAAGAACAGGACATGCCACCACCGTCAGTGTCCTGTAGGCACAGAGTTTGTGGTGATTGGGATGGGGCTGCAGCCCAGCCTCACCCCCAGTGGGCACAGCTGTGAGCAGCACTGGCAGCAGCGAGCCATGGAGTGCCCAGGTGTGCTGACCAGTCCCAAAGGGAACAGAGGGCACACAGGTGCACTGCATGAACATGAGGGTATAAAAGGTTGGGCTAAAGACCAAGAAGGGCACATGCTTGCAGACTTCTGAAGTAATATGATGTTACTCTGTATGGGCAGGGGCCTGAAGCCTTCTGAAGTTGTATGGTGAGTCTATTGTGGCTGTGCCATGTGCTGTGACACTGTCCCACAGGATGATCAGTGAGCCCGTGTTCTGTCTGTGTGAAACACAGCGGTGAGTTGCTGGCTGAACTTGTGTGTGGTGCTTAGCTCTGTGTGGTATTCTGTTTACTCCTTGTTGTGGCTTTTCAAAAATGACCAAAAGTAAATATTTTCTGTCCAAAATGGACATTTGGATACTTGGCAAGGGGGGGAGGTTCATTTTACTTTTCAGGTTTGATGCTTAAGGAACAAATTTGTGACAAAATGAGAGTCCTGTGGGGCACCACAAACCTCCACAGAACCTCGACACAGTAAAAAAATAGACAAGCAGGAGCAGATTATTCATAGTGGATTGTACATTATTGTAACACTTGGTGTTTCTGTAACACTATCTGCAATATTGTGTGCATCTGTCAAATCCTATGACAGCTGTTAGGTAATGTTGTTACTTGGGTAGTGTGAAGAGAAAAATGCCCTTAAAAGGATGGCCATGTTCATACCCTGTGGAGCCAGCTTGGCCTAATTCTCTGGCCAGGGAGACAATAGCATACCTGAAACCAGATATTTTATCTTGCAGTGAAAGCACCGTGCTCCTGTGACTGAAATGCTTCATAGAAAAGTGTCTCTTTCAGAATAAAGAGCACATTTCCCTTGTGGGGAATTGAACTGCTGCTTAGGAAACAAGCAAGAAAAAAGAAGGGAACAGTTCCCAGAAAGAACCAAAGTGCCAGAGTCTCATAACTGGAATGGCAAGAAAGGAGAGCAGAGTAACCTCCCCTGTGTAAGGGGAGGCCAGTCCCCTTTGACAGTTGTATTTCTAAAAGAAAAACGAGTCTTCACATGAAAAGCTGGAGGCAGTTTTGGTATTTGTCACTGGTTTTCTGGTGTTTACATAAAAGGTTGCTGAAGGTTTCTTAAAATGTAGCATTATTTTGGCCAGGAGGAATTAATTAGAGAAAAAATGAATCTTGCAAGAAAGTGGAAACAGCATTACACATTGCTGCATTTTCCAAAGCAAAGCCTGAAAGAGTTGTTACATTTTTAAAAGTTTGAAAACATGTAAGCTGAAAACTTTCAATTTGCTGTTACCTCAGAAACTGTGTCTCAGAGCAGTATCATACTTTATATGTAAAGTAATCATTCTCAGCTCTAATTACTCTCTTCTAATATGGGTAGCAGGCAGTGCTCTTGTAATCTGCTGATGAACTGCAGCAGTTTCTGCCTCCTTTATTTCAAGTTTATATACACTTTAGTCATCCTAATTGAACTCCTCCTGCACAAATATGCTATATTTATTTTTTCATAATTATTATTTACAACCTTTACATCATTGCTGAATGCAGGGTGAACAGTTACAGACACAGTGCATACTTCAGCAGCGAGTCTTCTCAAATTTGATTTATTCTGGTTTCTTGACAGCCTTATGTGGTTCACGTGATAGCTTTTGGATTAGGAGCAAAATGTCTTTAGACTGAAGTTCACAATGCCAAATTTCATCCCAAAGCACAGGTGCTCAGTAAATTTGAGAGAGTCTGAGTGGCGTGAAATGTGTGTGTAGTGGGGATGTGTTGTTTAAAAAAAAAATTTGGTATGGTCTGAAGGCAATTGTATTTTTCACTGTCAAGGCAGCAGAATTGCTCATAATGTCCAGAACAATATTCAGGTGAAACTTATCAGTGAACAGTATTTCATTGGAAGATGGTGAAATACTGCTGCAAGGCAGCAAGAACTAGTTGGACAAGTTTTTGTCAGGAATTGTTTTTGTAGTTCACCCTTCCTTTAGGCAAAGTGGTGCACTAGAAAACTCTGTTCCTTCCCACTGCCTGAGAGGGCTTGTTGAGCAGAAGATGAAAGTGGAATAGCTACTTAAGCTCAGTCACTGGCAGCCGTGTGTCTGCTGATGTGTTTGACCTGCAATCATCCAGGCTGCAGATTCAGTGCAGTTTCCAGGGCTATCCATACAAATCTCCTATTTATTCTATTGTCGGGGGGGTTGGAAAAAACAGACTTTAATTCTGCAATCCCACTGGTTTGTCTGTAGGAGCAATGTGATAAACTTCCTCAGCATTGCCCTGGCTGTAGAAAATCTGGCAGAAACAAGTCCTAAAGAAGATTATGTTAATGCTTGATTGAAAAAGCAGATTACATGTTTGATGGTAAAAATCATCCAGAATATATGCAAATGAATTTGCAGAATCTTATGAACAGCCTAATACAATTACAGGCTAGAAATGAGATTCAAAGGAGAAAAGTGTTTCTTTCTTACAGCAGTTGTTTTATCAGCATCTATTCTGTCACAAAGCTGAGGCTGAATTCCCCTATTCCCAATGTCTTTCTATCATATATACCAAAGAAGTATCTTTGATTTTTTTTCCCTATGGTTACAGTGTATAGAAAATTTATTTTTCCCAGAGTGTAAACTAACATCTTTTCTTCCTATAAAATGTTAGCAAGATAGAAGCATAATATGCTGTATTAAATAATGCATTTCCTATACATATACAAATATATATATATTACTATGATAACACATCACACATTTTTACATAACAATGTCTCTATTTTCCCACAACATAACAATATTAAGATAAAAAATACATATAAAATCACATAGTCAACAAACTAAACTAGTTTTAAATGTAGATTTTGAATGAGGGAAGGCACTTGTCCAGCTGGCCCCTTTGGGGTGCAGGGTGAAGGCAGCAGGCTCACCTGGCTGCTGTGGCAGTCCCAGCAGAAGTGCTCACTGCCCCAGCTCCTGGCACACATCTGGCCTTGTCCCATGGCTTATTCTCTGCTTAGCTGTGCACTCGGGGAGCTCTCAGCTCATCTCCCTGTGCAGCCACCCAGTGAGCGAGGTCAGAGAGCTCAGCTCTCTACAGAGTAACTCGGGGAAGAAAAAGCCACAGCAGTTGTTGACCTGATCGTTTATTGCACCACTCCACAGCTGGAAACACCAACACCAGAGTGAGCAGCGGGCCAGAGCAGGAGCTGAAATCCATGTCCATGGGGAGGCAGCTCCTCAGCAGGGTTTGGTTGCCAAATCAGTTGCTTTTGACATTTAGCCAGTGCCACATTTGCAGCCTGTCCCCATCTTGAGGGGACTGCTGGGCAGGAGCTCAGAAGGCTCCAGCTCACATACAATTCCAAACAAATTCTTCTGCAGTTATTTTCAGTTAGTTGCAGAAAAGGGTGCAGACACCACCATCCTGAGGCATCCCTGCTCTCCAGCTGCCAGCTCTCAGCTGGCTGTGTAGTAGGGGCATTTCTTTTGTGGGATTACAACAATTGTGCATGGTCACTCTTTTTGCTTCTTTCTCCCCCAAACCCTTACAGCAAAGATCAAAACATGCTGTGTTAGTGGATAGCACATCTCTCGGCCATAAATCAGCACAGCCTGAAGTGTCTGCACTAGCAGTGTGTGTGACCCTACCACATTTGCAAAAAATCCACACTGGAGATCTACCTGCTCTTCATGGTCTCAGCCCTGGAAAGTAATAAGTGCTATTTTTGGGACCCTGTCCATGAATTGCCATCCATTGCTCTGTTTGCTAGCACTAGCAGTATCTAGAATCAGCCAATCTGGAAAATTCTGGGGGGGGAAGCATGATTTCTTCTATGCTTTTATCAGTGTATTACCCATGCACTAATACTAGTCCTGTTTACTGTTGCCATGACCAGTTAATCCGCTGTAAGTGCTGGTTTTATGGGACTTCTGTATATAAATTAGATTAATGCTCCCCATGAACGTCCCATAAAATACAATTTTATTTTAAAAATATGTCAGGAGCTAAGGGATCAATGCAAAAATCTCACTTCTTGAATTCTCTAGATTTTTGCATTAGTAGCATCAGTCTTTGTTGCTGTTTGTTATGATATTTTCTCTAATATAGTGAAATTCTTCACTAATGAAGAGAAGTGTAGCATTCTGTATTTTTTTCGTTCTGCAGTAGGTGTAAATCAGTCACCAGGTGTTCCTGATGATTTTTCAGTTTATCACCATTAGGTGACTGCTTTATGAATGCCTCTCTGACAAAATGTTTAACTTGCATTTGATAAGGCAAGCAAAGCTTCATCACTTTGTGCTAAGCACTATGTGCTTATACCAGCTCCTGTGATTCCCTGCCTGGTTTCCTGTTAGTGCACCAAATTAAGGATTCTCAGGAACCAACCTGCTTTGTTTTGCCATGAATTTCTGAGGTGAACTCTTTCTCCACACAGCATGATGCAAAACCTTACTTTTAAAAAAGGCAATTTCAGAACTTGGGTCTGAAACAGACAATGGTTTTTGGTCCAACATGATGACACATAACAGAGAACCAGCCTATTTCTTACAACTTGTCCTGTCTTCATTTTAGCTAATACTGTAATTATATTTTCCGGTATTCTTTCCAGCAGCTCATGCAAGGAAGTACTAGATGTTCCCATGCTATTCCATTTTTTATATAAACAATTCCATAATTGCTGGCTTAGTAAAGTCTGGTTTCTTTTAAGCATGCATTGTTCAGCTGTCTCTAGCACTCATCTGTGGTACATAAATCAAGCTGGATTGAATTCAGTTCAGGTAAAAGACCAGACCTACAGTGGTAAGGTACAATATTTCACTGCTTAATTCTTTGATGCCCTGTTTTTTCAGTGAAATCTGTAGTTCTCACAAAAAGGAGGGAGTTACAGGTTAAAAAACATAAGGGCAGATACTAGAATCAATTCAAACTCAGTGACAATTTTCTTACTTTTCTTAATTACCTTTTGTAGATGCACTTAATAGATGTTCTCTAATTTCACATCTGGTATATGCAGACCATTGTTATATATTCCAAGTTAACCAGAATTAGTGCAGTTTCATGGTTCTCAGTGAACCTCCTCTAACTGAGTTTAAGGAGCTGCCCACTGTAAACCTTTCCAGTCAATTTATCTGACATTTGCATTGCCAGTTTTTCCTAAATATCTTGCTGGTCTGAACTTGCTGAGGCTGAAAGACTCACTGCTGATCCCTTGGAATCACTTGTTTCCCACTTGTGGTGGTGGGATGAGAATTCTGAGTATTGTAGATGGACAGCCAATCTACCAAAGAGGAGAAATAGTAAATGCTGTCTGTTGCAATCAAAGAAAATAGTTCACAGATCAGAACCCTACTGATGTTTTAGTTCTTTGACAAGTAAGGCAATTACCTGAAAAATTCAGCTCAGTTTTAGCGTTGCAGGCAAGGAGACACTTCTCCTCACAGGTGAGTGTCAAGGCAGCTGTTTGGTGCACGTTCAGCTGCACAGCCTGGCCCAGCTGAGTTGGTGATAGCAGCCTACAACTCTGTCAATAGTTTGGGCTGCTGGGATCAATACATGTGACTTCAAGCAAAAATTGGTTAGTCACTGATAAAAATTCAGTGGATATACCCAGGATGAATGCTGGCTGTCAGGCTGGAGTACAGTAGTTTTTTAAAGGATCACTATGAACATGAACAAAATTATCCTAAACATCAGTGAATGGTGGGTCAGATAAAGTAATTTAAAAGGATTCAATGCACCTGCAGGTCTTTACCTGGCAAGCTCTAGTCAATCCAAATGCATATTTGTAGCTGACTCTTGTTATGGAGGCATCCTTAAGTTGATTTTTTATGTTTGCATCTCTGCTTGTAGACACAGGAACAGAACATGCAGAAAGAGCACTGAGCAACCAGGCTGATAATTTTTCCAGTCTTTGATTCCCATTCTGCTGTACAGTACCTTTGAGATGTGTTTGCATCAAGGCAAATAAGCTCTGTTTGCTGAACAGGTTAGCAGTACCCCCCTCTATCTTCAGCCTTGAGAATAAAAGGACTGAAGTAGCCTGATCTAATACAGTGGTACAGGCAAGAAATCCTCAACCTGTGAAAACCCCTTCAGTTGCCTTGGGCAGGGGTACAGGACATTTTGAATTTTACGAGTTTTTACATCTATTTTAAGTGCAATGGTTTAAAGGCAGTAATTAACAGCACTACAGACTTGAGGAGCACCAGGTATTTGAAAATTATTGCTGCAATTAAATCCATTGTCACTGCTATATCCAAGAGAACAGCAGATAGGCATAGTCACTCAAAAGCCTTTGGAAATGGACTTTTTGGAAAACAGGTATGAGCTTGGGAGGAAAAAAAAAAAAGATTAATCTCAAGTCACCTGGATTCTAAGGAGATGAATTCTTGCAAAATAAAAGACACCTCAGTTTCCCACCAGTGGGTTGCAATCATCTTGTTGATTTCGAAGCTTTTTCTTGAAGATGGATATTGATGTGGATGGTTGGTAAAATATACTCCAGATCTCCCCAGCAGTAGTGACATCACTGCAATCCTCTGTTTCAGCTGCAGCTGGAATCTGGTGGGACCTGGGAAACAAAGAGTTAATTCACTCCTGTGTGATGTGCTTGGGTAGCTGTGGCTGTTCATATGTCTGCACTGGCAGTGCTCACAGCTTCCACTGCATCTGTGACACTTCTTTCTACCTGCTGTGCAAAATGCAGGTTTTTGGAGTGTTTCTTGGCTGGCTTGATCAAATGAAAACTTGGGTATCCTTTTGCCAACCTATGACAGCACTGACATTAAGCAAAGAGGACTCTACAGACTAGTTGTTGTTATTATTATAGTTGCTATTAATACAGATTAATTTCCTTGTATATTCAAGCATGTTTGTGCTATGTAAATACAATATTCAACATTTTGATTTGCTGATAACTCACCTATCATTTCATTCAGTGAGCGTCCATCTAGAGGACCCAAAATTTACTTGGTAGGAGTGTAGATATTTTAATTTTTTCCCTGCAAAGTATTATCATAATTTGACCTCTTCTCACTAAACCTGGATGTCTGATAACATTTTCCTCCTTCCTCCTTAAGTACAAATCTTGTCAAATCAAGAGCAGAAGAGATAGTCTAGTAGCAGATGCTATCCTAACAGACTGGAAAGTTAAAAAAAAATGTGTTTATTTAGGATCTTCTATGATAATAGAAATATGTAATAACTAACTTGGAATATGGCCAATCTGACAATTGGAAGGCAGAGAGGAGCCCCAGGTTTGGTTCAGAGCTGAGATCTTGGTTCTCTGTGGTTCTTTTGCTCACACTCACCTCATGGTAACATGCAGAAGTATCTTTGCTATTATGGCTGTAGCACTTAGGATGAGCAGTGCTGTGAGACTGTATATTGTCCATTCTGCAAAAGAGAAGAGGGGGAGCTCTCAGTACATTCATTTATTTACAGTTTTTACGGTAAGAATATTGCATGAAAGGAATAAAGAGCCTTGTGATGCTTTATTCAAATCTGTAATTTGACAATGCCTTAAACCTACAAGAATTTTCTGCAGATTGGTACAACCCATAGAACTGTCAGTCAGAACTGCTTTTTTCCCTTGTGGAACTCCTCCCAGTAAAACTGAAAGTTGGCAAAATTCAAAGCATGTACTAGTAAAATTACCTAGGAAAGGAAGCAGAAGTTCCCTTCTACCCACTGCCCCTTCCTCAAAGCATTGCCTGTACATGATGATTTGAACAGTATTTTTGGAACTGCATAAAATCCAGGGGCGCACTTTCTGTTGGTGCTCATGGGTAGTTGAACACTGGGCAGCTTAGGTGTAACTGTGCTAAGTCAGGCATTAGGCTGGGCCTAGTCCCAGACTATTCCTGGGCATGTTCTGCACCTTGGCTGGTTTGGGTGTGCAGCTCAAGTTTCAGGTTTGGGATGCAGACAGTTTCAGGACTGTGTGAGTGTCCCCAGTGGGACTGAGGCCAGCTCCAATGACAGATGAAAGCAGATGCCCAGAGTGGTTTAGCAATAGGAGAGAATAATAGTGATATTCACCAAGAGTGCATTGCCAGCCTTCAATTATTTACAGCTCAGTAATTTCCTGAATTCAGTGATGTCCTGAAGGTGAGTTCTAAACACATGACAGTTCTCTGTGCCATTTCTCCTACACCCACCAACTTGAGCCCTTCTGTGGCATAAAGGTCACTAAAGCTGATCTCAGTAAGAAGGCTGCTCTGACTCATGTGGATTTTCCCATTTCCACATTTTATTGTGTCATTACCAGGCATGGAGCTGGTTGGATGACTTGGGCTGGTTGTGATGACATAGAGTATCTTTGATGACCGGGCTGCGTTGATGCTGAGATTTGCTTGTTCATTTATCCTCTCTGGAAGGGTGTGATTCACTGGGATCTTGTTTTGATGCACATTGTCCTTCACAGCTGAAAACACAGGAGTATGATTACAGTAACAATCTCTTAACAGGTGTAATTGGACTTTACTTTGTGCTTACAAACAGACATGCTGCTCTCTGGTTAACGTAATAGAACTCAAATAATCAAATTATATCTGATTCCTAAAAAAAGCCTGTACTTCACCAATTTGGGGTTCTCAGAATTTTTCTGAGATTGCTGATTTGCTGTTTGTTCATCATAACAGTAGGTACAACTCAAGGACCAGAACATTTTCTCCTGATGACTTTCAGCTGGAGAGGAAGAGATGGTTGAAAGGAGCCAAGATGAACCAACGTGCAGATGGATTATTGTTTGTTTTGTTTCCCTTTGGCATTTTCCAATCTGTTTTAATAGGAAGGCATAGAATTGGATTTTTGAAAACCTTTATTTTGCTGTTTATGATGTAGCTGACTGGAATGTTCTAAACTGAGAGAAATTTTGGTGAAGCTTCCACCCAGTGAGTAGTGGCAACAAGAGAGATGAAACACCTCTTAGATAAGAGATGAAATATTTGGTCTTTAATTGCCAGTTCAGAAATCTCCTGTGTGAATTAAATGCTTCACTGAATGGTAGAAACAGCAAAGGTAGCCTCTTACCTCTATACCTGATAGCAAATCCCTGGGCTTGATTGATGTCATCTGAGAAAAAGTACAAAATGACAAAATCCAAAGAGATGTTAAAGGTGTGAGGAGGCTTGTTCTTGCCATTAAAACGAGCTAGAACGTGGTAGGTGTAACCATCCAGCAATTCCACCATATCTGTAGCATCTTTGATTTCAAAAAGAACAAAGGTGAAGTGGATTTGAGATGCTCCTGGAACTTGTATGGTCCAATAACAGACTTTGCCTGTGCCATATGTGTCAGGAAAATCTGGAGAATAGATCACAGCTGTAGCAGAAGTGTAATTCCCTCCACAGGCACCAATAAGGGCTGTGAAAACAAGAGGAAAGGGAGAAAAATGGAAAAAAAAGGGGAAAAAATGAGGTAATGCATTAATTTTGCAAAGTTTTAGCACCCTGTAGATTCTAATACTTAAATGTGACTTGAAGGTACAGACTGGCTAGGCCAGCAGGATGCACTCTCTGCATCTGCTCTTTCCCTCCCTCAGCACTGGGAGGACAGCTTTTGTTGTCTTTTCTTGGAATACTTATGCCTCATTACTCTGACCTATGCATCAGTCTTGAATACTGCAATTTTCTTTTGTCCTTGTGTGTAACCATGTACCCTTTCCTGCATCCCTGCAGAAATGGGGTAAGAGATAAATATCCGTATATGCATATACAATTTTTTACTCTCTAGTAAGATCAATTCTTAGGGAGTTTCTGACAACTGACTTAGTACCACTTGTGAGGAAAGTGAGAGAACCTCTGGAGCATGAGCAAGCATAATTTCTTCAAAGAGCTGTTTGACATTATTAATGGATGAGAATTTTAGGCAGAAATGGAAAGCAGCTTGATTTTATACCAAATGGAGGTGTTTTGCTGTTTAGTGTGCAACAGTTCTCTTTGTTTTGAGCCTTTTCCCTAATTTGCTGAACATGTGAGGCCTCTCCTTTGGGAAAAAACTGAGCCTGCTTCAATACTTACTGTCAAAAAGAATGACTCTGCCGTCCCCACCGCAGGGCTGAGTGTGGTCTCCAAAGCAAACACTGTTGCATTCCGTACTGGCTGCCTCCCCGTATCTCCAGTAGTCAGGATTATTTCCACAGAAGCAAGCATAACCTGATTCCATGCCTGCAAACTTTGACAACAAAGATGCATAAGGAAGGGAGGAATAGTATGTGAAGGAGTGACTGCAGGAGGTTGTTTGAGCAAGAAAGCTGGCAGCAGGATCTGTGTGTTTTGGAGAAGTATGATTATTCAGAGGAACCACCACAGGCTGTTTTTGTTTGGGCTGTCAGGATGCTACTTAAGACTGGGGGAAAGATGGAATGGAGGGCACCCTGACACTCACAATTGCAGTAAGCAACCATATGTTCTCATAGCATTGTTCATTAGTCATTTGTCCAGATTCCTCTGGCTGCAGAGAGAGGGCTTGATCTCTGGGGTGGAAGTGCAACCTTAGACCTCCCAAAAGTTTAAAAAAATGGGGAAGAGGAGAAATACAACAAAGACCTCTAGGCACGTTGCCAGCTTTGTCTTTGAAAACATTTTGTAAATGGATGTCAAAGAAATCACCTTGAACTGCTGGCTGCGGCAGGAGCTGATGCACGTCTGGATTGTGAGTTTATTGGAGGTCTCGCTGGTGCCAGTCAGAGGTGGTGGCTCCCCGTGGTCCTTGTAACAGCCCAGATTTCCTGGCACTGGCAAGAGGGACACACAACAAGTCATTTAAAGTGCCTGTAAACAGCCCTGACCACTTCATGCACTTCCTGTCACTGAGCAGCTCTCTCTGTGTTCTGGGCTTGATGTTGCACTTTGGGAACTCTTTGTTACTCATGCTCTGTATGATTCTTGTCATATTTTCCAAACACGCCCTGAGACAAAAGATATCATATAATCTCAGCAATATACCTGTAAGACTCTCTAGCTGGTTTCAGTAAGCTGCAGTAAAACAGACAAGATAAATACCTCGTTCATTTTTCCTGAAAGAGGCAATTAAAAAACCCCATGGCATTAATGGGTTCAGGGGGGTTGGTTTTGGGTTTTTTTTGTGGTTTTTTTTTTGTGGGTTGTTTTTTTTTGTTTGTTTGGTTTTTGGGTTTTTTTTTTTTACTACTGGCATGCATATTCTGAAAATGTAAGTTAAACTGTTTGATTTCTGTCTGACCTTCCAAACAATCGCATTCTGGAAGTTCTCAAAACAGGGTATTTGAGGAAGGGAACCAAAACTTTTATATTGTTTTAGAATGAAGTTTGGCAAGTTTTATGGGAGGGACTATATACTTATATAGGGGAATTTCCTAATATTTGAAACTTGACTTCTGATATGAATCTGAAGCATCACACAAAGAGATTAAAAATGAGCATTATTACTTAAAAAAAAAAACCCATCTATTTATATTAATATTATGTTTCAAAGCTCCTTGGTCACTATGGGAGATCAGAGTTTTATCCCTTCAGTGCTCTGTTTTTTTTTTGGTTTTGCACTTTTCATCAAAGCACTGGAATTTAGCCATGATCACCCCCCAGAGAGGATGTAGAGTACAATACAGTGCTGTGATAATGGCATAAAATTATCCCTTGCCCACTTGTCATATCTATTCACATGCTTGAAATTAAATCTGTTACTAGCTCTATGTTAAGTTTTATTCCTGTGCCAGATTGACGTGGATTCTTTTTGTCCACCTAACTGCCACAGCTCTATATGACATGATGTGCTCAGAGACCTGTATGAGTGTTTTATTTATGTAGTCATTGGTTATTACAGTACCCAGTAAACTTATTATAAATAATGACATAATGTTGCTTGAAATATTGTTCAGAAATTAATTTTGTTCTCCAAGAATACAATTTCAATTATAAATACTTGCATGGAGTTATGGCTTTGATATGCCCTGCAGCAACATTCATACAAGTACTGAGACTTCAAGTTACAGCCTGATTTTACATACCTTTGGAAATCCCCACTTGCAGCCCCACCCCAGCTGAGTACAGCTGGGCAGATAACTCATGAGAGACCTCGTTCTTTTTTGTATTGTGCATGATTTCACAGCCCTGAAAAAGTTTCCCAGTTATCCAACCCTAGCTCATTTTCCTAAGACACCTGGGATTTTTATTTTTTATTTTATGTAGCTTTATTAGTGAGACCTTTCAACCTTTGCTCCAGAGGATTAGTACTTCATTATGCTACGAAACCTGAATAATTTGAAAACTTCTTAAATTTTTTAACTAAATCAAACATACATCCTAAGACTAATAAGTCTCTTTAGTGTCCCAGCAGTCCCTTCTTTGCTCTTAATATTTAGCCTGCTAAAGAAACTTGGCCAAAAAATGAGGTAGTCAGTGTTCTGCAATTACTGTTCATGCTCACCAGTGATGTTTCACTGTTATACTGTCTTCACCCATTTGTATCTATTTGTCCTCTTCTTCTTAAAAGGTCATCTCTTTTGCACAAACATTTTTCTTGTAAGCAGAATTTGACATAATGAGGTTCTGGCAAACACCACAGCTTCTGCACTTTACGTGTTGAGGCACATATTCAATGTATTAAAATATGGAATTAATCCTTTTGAGCTCAAAACCATGTTCCAGCTATGCTCATCTAGCTGTCTTTGAAGAGCCTCCTAGATTTTTGCACAAATGGTTTGAGCTGTCCTTGTTCCTGTGTTCCATATAGCTTTGCATAACTTACCTGGCCCTGCCATTTAACACCTCCTCCATATTTCACTCAGATTTATTACATTACATACATGCACACTGGAAATAAGATTCCAGTAATGAAATCTGTTTATGGGGAGAGAGTCATGTGAATGATAAACATGACGATGTAGTTAAGTGGCATAGCAAATCTTTCTTTCTTTCACATTTTGGAAGTGTAAGTTGTTATTTCCTTTGAACTTAAACCTAACCTCATTAACAAGGAGACCAAAGAAGTCAGGAATAGCTGCAACACTGCAAACAAACCATCTGAAGCATTCAGTTCTGAATCCTCCATGTGAGATGCACATGTTCTCTCAGCACGCAGAGCTGAAGTCTTGCTTTTTATTTTGTGTCTGTCCATTCCAGTCTGCTTAGCAGAAATGAAGAAGGAGAGAGGAGGAAAAGGGAAGACAAAGCTCCTCCTGGAATAACTACCACTGTCTTCTGTGATTGTGCTCATCCATCTTTATCTAACACTGCTAAATTCTGTACCTTACCTCCTCAGAATGTCAGAACACATTTCTGACTGAAGCATGTAGTGTTATGTATAAATATTAGGGAATGAGACACATGAGATAATCATGTGAATTCATCACCATAATGAAAAGTTCTTAACTGTAGATTCTTAATTATTGCTCAGATGAATCATTGCGTGCAAATCTCTCTAGGCAATCAAGATGCTTCATGTTGCTGGCACTGCCATGGTATTATGTGGGCACATTTAATAGGTAACTTATGTTCCAGATACTTTCCTAGTAGTAAATATCATCAAGGAAAAGAAGCTTATATAAGAAATTTTTCTCTAAAAATTTTCAAATAGTTTTTTTTTTTTAATAATTGCTTTCTTGCACCATCACAAAAGTCAAGTTTTGTATTGTGCACTTCACAAGATACTTTGATGGTCCTATGACATAGCATCATGCTTACTGAAAACAGAAAGTCTGGTGAAGAATAAAAGATTTTTTTACACAGCTTCATAAACCATGAGGTTTGTATTAAGATTTGGATGGGCTTGCAATGTACAGTTTGCTCTAAATTGCTGCAATTCCTTTTTCTAGTATCAAGTTTCAATGCAATGCTTGAAGCAGCTGCTACTGGTCAAAAGGACATTTTGTAAATGTAAGTCTGGATTATCTGTGCAAGTAAGTGTCCAAGTTTAAATCCTCTTCTCCCCACCACAGAGAAAATGAGCGAGGCTGGTTTTAAAAGGATCCTTTGTGTAGAACAAATGGAGTGGAGAGAATTTGCCTTTCAGCTTTTTTTCCTCGTGTCATATCCAGATAATTTGTTAACATCTGTGGTCTTTAAAGAAAATGCACATTCTTTCATTTTAGACCAAGTTAAATTTCTTAATTAGGAGAGTCAAGTTTCTTAAATCATACCTGGTATATTAGAAAAATAAGAGTAAGATGTCCTCTGAAAAATGAATATCAGAGTGTTGAATGATTCTGTGTTATTTAAATTAGACTCCTTAATCTGTATTTCAGTCTAGGTGAAAGGCATCAGTCTCAAGGTCACACTTATGTATTTGTTTGCCTAGCATGAAGATGTGAGTCATTCACATTCATAAAACCAAAACAACAAAGCTGTGAAAAAAATTTAAAAAATCACTTCAGCTCCATGTTTCTTGTCTGGTTTTGTTTTCTTAACTTCAAGTAAGAAATGTACTTCCAATCAAATATGTACAAATGGACACCTGCTCTGGTGCTTAGCAGTGAAGACCTAAGTTATGCCTTAGAAACAGAGGATACTTGCACAAAAGAAGTTAGGAAAGCAAGTGAAGACATTAATGATTAGACTTATTAAAATACGTAGCTATGGTTGCTTGTTAACATTCAACACTAGAATATTATCTTAGTATTTGGGCATATTTTAAAGAATGTGATTTGGGAAAGAAAATTTTGGAAGATACTGACACAAATCATGACATTGTGGACTAAGTAAAAAATAGAATATATGAAAAATATAAAATTCTGGAAAGAAGCTTCATGTGAGTAGCTTGTAAATTATCTGATTAAAAAAAAAAATCAAAGTCCAGGTTGTGGTTTCACAGCAATGTTAAGTATCTGCACCTGCCAGAGGCAGAATTCTACTCCAGAGTTCTCATATAGCACCTTTTCACTGTGTCCTCTCATATTCTTTTAATGTTTCCTCCAAGCAATTCTGTGTAGGTTACTCTATACACATTTTAAATTAATGTAATTCATTATGTCAGCTAATTGCAATGGATAGACACATAAATACCTTGTAAAAACTTTCCTTTTTTTTCGTCCTCTAGATTTTAATAAATTAATGATCTATGGATTCAAAGAGCTAGCAGTACTTCCCAAGTTTTGTGTGATTCCGTATCATACAGCATTATTTGTAAATAATATAATCCAGTAATTCTGAGATAAAATGAAAAGGATAACAGTGGAGGAATAATTCAGTCAGCTTGTCATTAAATCTAAGAAACCTGTTTAAAATACACCTTAGTCTGCAACTGAAAATAAGCTGTTTTGCTTTATCCTAGTTTGTGTTTGGAAATCACTACCCACTGTTGTGTTACTGCCAATCTCTGCTCAACTGAGACGCAGGCCTAAAAAATTGCTCTTACTTCGGCAGGATGGAATCTCACAGTATTTCCAGTATATTCCATCTTCATGTTCTGCAATATAGCACCATGGGCTGACATCCCCATCGGGGTTTCTGAAAGAGAAAATATTCATCATTTTTTTTCAAAACCACACCAAAAAAATCAATCTTATTGAGCTTCAATGGCATTACAATTTTTGCTCTTGTACCTACCGAAAAATGCAAAGTTGTTAATTGTCAGAAAGTTTAGACAGCTTTGGTTATTACAGTATTCATTAAGCATTAAATGCTAGTAATGTCTAAAATATAGCTTTGTTTTACTCTAATGTTAAAAGGTGCAGAGCTATTTGTGGTCAGTACTGACAGAGAGGAAGATTTTCTGCCCCATGTCCTGTGTATGGGTTCCATAGACTCATAAACTTGATTTTCTGCCTTGGTACAAAATAGTCCAGACTCTAACTTTCTGTGTGTATAGTGATAAAAACACTTAGTTGATAAAGGCTTCTGGGAAAGACTGAATTATTTTCTTCCCTTTCAATAAAACTGACTAAATCCATTTATATTGATGGTAAATTCCATATATGTACATGATGATGATCACTATTTTTATAATTATTTGCTGTTGTGTAGCACTGCTTACAAATGCATACCTAATTAGTCATTAGGTTATTTAAAGTTTTTCTATATACACTGTGAAAGGCTATTCACATTGCAAAGATCTATTTAAAAGAACAAATTCTTATTTTGGACAGTCAGGTTGAAATATGACTTTTTCTTTTAACTAGGACCAGTTGCAATCTTTTTATAATGTGCTTTGGCATGAATTCTATTAATGACACAGCCCTACTGAAGTGTCAGTTCAGCTGCATGTTGTCATTTATGCCTATTAACAACTCTTTTGTGGGAGATCCAATTTTAGAAATTCTGTGGATGTTTTTTGGTCAAATAGCAGACTGCTGAAAACAACTGGTGAGTTGAGTGCAGTTTAGATGACTAAAATGTTGCTAGTTAGGCTTTCAAAAAGATTAGTAGAGGCAGTGGACCAGGAAAGTCTAAGACTAGCTATGCTAGGAATTTAGGTGTAATACAAGAACCTCCAGTAGCTAAAAAAAGTGGAAGACTGAAACCAAGTGAAGCTTGTACTTGAACATACCAATTTTCCCTTGTTTCCAGAGTTACAGGAACTTTTGCAATTACATCTTCATGACAGAAACCGTATGTCTGGAATTCAATCATGAGAATGGCACTCTACATATAAATGCCTTAAAAATGCGAGGAAATTGGAGAGAAACATCATGAATATCTTTAGAAATCTTTGTCTTCAACCTCAGAATTGCATGGGAGTTAGAAAACAACTCTCTGCCTTTCAAAATCTCCAAAAATTTCAGTCCTCATAATTTTGTTACGGTTGAAGTGAGTGGAACGCTATGAAGCATTTCCATCTTGACAGGGTGTCTTGCAGTAAACAAAATATTCCAAGTAAGGACCACCCATGGAGAGGTAACATGCTTCTGATTTATACTTCAAGTGTAAAATTTGATAGTTCAAATGTTGTCCCCAAAATCAAATCTCAAAGCGATGTATTATGCCTTAAAGAAAGCCTTGTGAGGTACGTGCTGCCTGAGAAAAGGGAAAATCAACTTGTCCATTGTCATCAAGCAGATGAATGTCAGAGAAAGAGCTAAAACAGCTGTATCACAGGCCTGAACAACATTTGCATGCTATAGATACACTCTGGCACTCTTAGTGACTTTCCAAGCTGTCTTTCAAGAGAATGTGAAGTTAAAAGTCATCCATTAGTTAGGACTGTCATTCCATACACCTGTGAGAATATTCCTAGGCCAAGTGATATAAGGAAAAAAATGAGGATAATCTAATACCTAGCAGACTCAGGTAAAAAAGCTCTTTTTGGTAATTAAGTAATTTCTCAGGTTTACCTATCAGAATATAGGTTTCTTGCTCCTTGTAGCATTTACCAAGTTCTCATTTGCTAGGTAAAGCAAGTTTCAAGTAAGTGTTTTTTGAGTACGTTCAGTTTCTCATGCATGTTTTTGCACAGCTTGTACATGTTTTGCTTTGTACTAACCAAAATATTAGCCAAAGATGACTGCCAAAAGTAAGATCCTGTAGATACAGCCTGTCTAGAATATTGCCACACAGCAAACTATCACAATTACATTATTGATTCTGCTATTTGTATCAGAAAGAATTCAGTGGCCACTATATTTTTCCCAGCTCTGTATTAGTATGCCTGCTGAGACACAGAGTTCAAAAGAAGCCTGCAGACCCTAAACATCTCTGAACTTAAGTTCTGATTTGGCTCCTAAATTCTGAAGTTCTTATTTAAGCTTTGTTCTAAGTTCTCTCCACAGTTATAGAGGACTTTCTCTAGAAGGCAAGGAAAAGAGAAGTGCATCAGCCATGGCTTAATTTGGTATTGTAACCCCTGACAGATGAGCTTCTGAATTCAAATAACTCTAAATCACTGATGCTCACTTAGAATTTTTAGTGACTACATAAACTTCCATTATCAGGGTTACGTGTGAGGATAAAAACCATCCAGTGACTCCTCCAGACAGTCAATGTACTGCTGTACTTCTATATTTGTTTTATTCCACCTTTTCATTTATGTAATCTATAGTCTTTCTCTGTCATGCCACCTTATAATTTGGACACATGATAAGGACTGCAGAAAAAGTGTGGGAGCTGGGTTGAAAAAGTTATTCTACTAATGGTGCTGATAGATTCAGGGTACTGATAACAGGGTAAACCAAAAAGTGTTAGGTACCCATGGTTCTGACATTCTTCACTGCATGACAGGACAATTCCTAATTTTCTGTCAACTGCTTGAAGTAACACTGGTTATTCAGGCAATGTTAAAGCAATGTGATATTTCTTACCTGCAGTAGTTATGCTCTCCAAGCCCTCCCTCCCCATTGGGATATTTCACAGTATTATAAGGATGCTCAAAGGTCTCATTCCAAAAAAGACAAGGTTTCCCTGCATTTTGGGAGGTCTGGTTCTGAGTGCCACGATAGTCAGCCCCATTTGCTGTATAGCATTCTGGGAAAAAAGAGAAATGGAAAAAGAAAGAATGTATGTAGGTTTAGTGTTTGTTCTTCCCTCTCCCTCCACCCCATATCCAATGGACCATGTTTCCTGCATTGTTTAGGCAGCTAAAGATGCTGGCTAGGATTTAAGCTTTCTCTCAGTCAAACCTTTCTTCAAGAGATTATGATGTCATTACTTTAATAAACAAATGTACAAGACAGGTCTGAAGAGTTTACACAATTAACATGTATTTTCTGAGTAACATAATATTTTTTTACTGTTTTCCTTGTGTTTTACTCATGAGGATGACTCTGTGACTTGTTAATTTTCCAAAGATGAAATCATATGACATTATCAGTCTGCTACTTATCAGCATATTAACCAAAATCTCATGCCACTTCAGCTAAACTTGTGACTATCTGTACTTTATAAAGTGAAGATTTTGTAAGCATGGATCTTACCAACGTGTACATTCTGATCAAGAAAAATTCTTACAGATTGAATTGCCTTAGAAAGGGACCTCCTTCAGCAGAGTATAATCACACTGTGATTTGCTACTAAATACTTTCAGATAGAAAGTATGGGTCAGTATTCTTCTGCCTCCCTCATATTTTTTCCCACTTAATTTGTTTTCCTAGCCTCCTAATACTCTGCAAGTTAGAAACCAAAGTAGAGAATTATTTCACTAAATACATTAGCCCTTTCTTAGCTGAACTACTAATTTCATGCTGCCTGGCTTAGCTGGGCCTTGTTAATCACAGAATTGTTCAGGATGACAGGGACCTTAAAGATCATCCTTAAAGTTCCAATCCCCCTGCCATGGACATGGACACGTTCATTAAACATCTTCTGATGAAACAGATATCCAAATGCATCAACAATTTTACTTTTGCTGAAATTGCCAAGCATTTTTGATAAAATTATGCAATGTGAGTGTGGCAGAGCACGGCAACAAGTTGCCCAGCGAGGCTGTAGAATCTCCATCCTTGGAGATATTCCAAAGCCACCTGGACATGGTCCTGGGCAACCTGCTTTAGGTGACTGTGCTTGAGCACAGCAGTTGGACAACATGACCTCCAGAGGTCACTTTCATCTCAACCATTCTGGGATTATCTTCCAGGAAGAATCATTATAATCAGTTTAACATAAATAAGTCCATCCTGCTTATAATTAATAGTTGCTAACATTTATCATCCTTGGATTTACTTAAGAATAGGATTAAAACTTAACAGACTGTGACAGAATTAAAACTGCTGCATTATACTGCTGTAAACATTTCTTTGTATTGGACAGCATTACTGGAGATATTTATTGAAAATTAGCTTTCTGCTAACTACAGGCTGTGAAACCTCCTGTTTCATCTGATAGTTTTCTTTGTAGAAACCATATTGCAGCTGCAGAGATGTTCTACTGCCCTGAGGGAGTGGGAGAGTGCTGAAGTATGTGCTGATCTCAGGTGTCCCTCATGAAATCTGACTTACAAAACAAGTCTAGAAAGACCTGTGTGGCTGCAGTTGGAAGAAGAAAAAAAAACCCACCCACATTTTAGTTCTGATATTAACAGTACACTGTTTTTCTGTTTAGAACTACTGTAGAAGAAGGAAAAATGTATTATTAAAACCATGCTTCTGAAATTAGTTTAGTCTGGGCTCACAAATATCAGAATGGTACAATTATAATAATTATTTCAGAGTTCTATTACACAGCAGATGAAAGACAAAGGTTTTTGCTTTCCCTGTTCATTTTCGTGCCTAGGCAAGTTTGGATTTCTATTAAATGAAATTTTGTTGCTGAAGGCATGCAGAAGAGGTGTCTGCAAAGCCATTAATGTATTCTGCTATCATCTGTGGACAGAAAGCTGTATAAGTTAACAAAAACAAGCTTCAGGTCAATACTCCTCCTTGCTGTAATTTACCTGCCTTAACAAAACAGGTGGGCTGCATGCATTTGCTTAAAAATGCAAATCTGAGTTTCCAGTAGTCAGGCCACCACAGATATTTGTGTAAACATGAAAAAAACCCACTTTAAGGTCATGACTGTGTTGCAACTTTCTTCAGTACCTCTTTTGCTTTGCAGTTAATATAAAAGCTTTTGTAGGTTATAGATGAAAAATACAAGCTCATGAATTTTAGCAGAAAAGAGAGAAAAATGTTATCCAAATATAAACAAAATAATAAGCAACAAAAAGTATTTGTGAAAAGTGATAAGAACATCCAGAAAAGATATCTATGTTAGCTTTCTGCTTTTTTTTTTTTTTTTTTTGGCTTCTCACTCCTTAATGAAAAGCAATATATACTTCCATCTACTCAGAAATTTAAAGAATGCTACAATACCTGAATTTAGTCTGGCACACAAACTAAACTGAAGTTAACTTCAGTCCATTTTAGGATCTGCTAAGACTGGCCCATGCTTTAACTTGAAGTAGTGACTGACTTAGATTTTCATGTCAGCTTTTTTTAACTGATTTTTTCAAACCTCACTGCACTTTAAGAAAAAAAAAAGAAGAGTCAGAGCCTATCTAGCCTACCTATCTCTCTTCATTCCTCTTAACTGCAGCTTTTTGTGCCTCAGACAATAGGTAGCTGTATCAGTGCCCCTGTGTTCCTTTGTGCTATCAAGAGATTTGGTGCAAATGTTTCAGCTGAGTGGTAACAAAGCTCCCCTGGCTTAGATATGGATGTGGAAATGGGAGGCAGTGAGGTACCACGAAAAATCATTGATTATCCCTGAAACACTGAAGTGAAAACTTTAAGTCATGGAATTCAGCAGCTGTTATCAAATGAAATACAAGACCTCTTGTGTTACGGGGAATTTGGATTTTCTTAAGGATTAATAACGATTTTGCCATAGCATGAGAGTGCAATGTTTTCAAATAAATATTGGCATTTGAAAAAATCAGGTCAGTTGTCCTTGCTAAGCTCCCTCCTGGCTTCTTGTGCACTGTTCACTGGCTAAGCATGGGAAACTGAAAAGTCCTCGATTTTAGAGTAAGCACTACTTGGCAACAACTAAAAAATTCTTCTGTTTATCACATGCAATGATTTCATCATATTTTGCTGCATGACAGCCAAGACACTACCTTAGTGATTTCACCATGAAATTAATACTCCCAATGTGCTGAAGGTGCATGTTTTGTCTGCAGAAAGGCCACTGCCCTCTATTTCAAATCCAAGCCCTAAGATTCTGGAGAACAGGAGGTTAGAACCTCCATCCTGCTGCAATAATTCTGTGAAACCATAAGCTTAAAAAAAGGTCCCCTTGATTTATCTGCACAAAACTAATTCAGATGATGTCATCTACATTAAAGTCAGAAAAGACTGGACTGAACACTGCTGGTAAAACTCTTTGGCTTATTCAAAACACCTGATTTCTCTTTGGTAGGTTATGCAAAAGAGAGGGGGAAAGAGTAAATCAACCAGCAAAAACCACCTCTCTGTGTTGTGGCACCCTCAGGTTGAGTGATACTTCCATGACATTTTAGGGTATGAAGTCCCTCACTTGGAATGTAACATCAGAACTGTAACATCAGACTCAAGAAAATTCATACCAGTTCTGTGAATTTCAGCAAGCCTTTTTCCTTAAAGTTTTGTAAGATTATGGTAAGCTGTGACAGGTCTGTATCCAAGTCCTCTCCCAGTGGCAAGGACAAACACCCTGTGGACACTACAGCTGACAGCCCCCAAGAAGGCATCAGGTTGCCACTGTGCTTGATAGATTTGCCACGTGGATTTTGTTCAGGCATGCAAGGCCCAGACTATCCTGTCAGCTATAAACCCCTACTAAAACACCAGGGTTTCAGACAGGACATGAAGAAAGCTGTGACCACTCAAATCTAGAAGTGTGTGACCTCATACTTCTAAGATCTTAGTCAGCTGAGTTTCGGATATAGTCCGAAGAAGAGGCTTATGTCAAATCTGTGATTAGAATCAGTGTCCATGATGATTTCACTCAATTAACTGCCTAATGACCCTGCTGCTTCTGCTGTGTCATGGGGATGTCTGTAAACAGAATTAATCAGAGATTAATCAGAGATAATTAATCAGAGAACCTTTGCAGTGGTTCTAGTCACAAAAGGTTCCAACAGATGTTGTTCAGGCTAATGTTCATGAGCCTTGGTGAGAAATCACAGACAGCATTTTGTTGTCAGGGCTGTTTTGTTTTCAACACATCAGGTGCCATGGTTGACAGCAAGTAACTTATTTTAAAATGAATGCTGAGACTAGGTAAGTATGTACTGAGTGACAACTGCTAGAACAAAAAAGCAGAAAACAAGACTAGGGATGTTGTCCACTGTAAGTGAATACTCAGTGTGTGATACAGGTTCACAATTAGTTTTATTAGAGCCAGATCAACATTTGGAAGATCAAACAGCAGCTGTTGTAGAAATTCTTTCCATCTGTGTCGGTTTCTTCTTCAATGTAGGGACTTTACAATGATCATTTTCCTTTGTTACTTTGGGACTGCATGGCTGCCTGCACTCCACATGGGCGCCACTTTAGGATCATTTGAAAAATTAAGGTAGTGCAGACTGTAACAGCCTGATGTTTTACTGATGATAAATCACTGACATTTCAGTGTCTGCATTGGCTTCCAATGATTTTCTCAAAGACATCTATCTAGAGACACTACAAATTGCAGACTGAAGGGATGGAGGTTTCAGGATGGTTCAAATGACTTCTTAGAGTACTTTCCAAGTTTGAGGTCTGTACATAGCTTTTGAGACTGAAAATTCAGAATGACAAACTTCTTCCTATTCCACTGGAGAGAAAAAAAAAAAAAACCCAAACCAAACCACTTTGCTTAATGTTTTCATAGCTACTTGGAGCACTGAGTAATGTCAGAGAGACTGACAACAATTATCAACCTGAAACAAGCCTACCCAAGCCAGAAATTATCCTACCACCTACTGCCCAACAAAAAGCAAGGTTTTCTTTTAAAGATCTGCAGATTAATGAAAGATAAATGAAAGTGGCTACTATTTAAATCTTGGGTTTCATTACAGCAGTGTAATTAAATGTAAGGTTGGACCAAAAATTAAAGGTTCCTTGAATTTACGTGGTATAACTGCCTGCTCAGTTTTCACTTGTTTTTCCTACAGCCTTTTAGAGAAGTCAGAAAAATGCTTAAGCAGAATATAAGGGTATGAAACCAAGGGTGCCAGGTCCGATAGTGACTCAGTGTGGGTTGCCTGATGCATGTGCTTGCAGAGTATTCCAAGAATAATTTTAAGTCATTTCCATTCTATCTAAACTGCCCTAGCTCTTGCTGGAGATTGCAATTTAAGCACTCCTCCTTAAATGAAAGCACTGTATCTAGGTGCAGATGGCAACAGTTACAGGCACTAACCAGATGCTGCAGTCTCTAATTTGATTGAAAGGGTATAATTAGACAGCAGAAACACTTCAATGAGAAAGTAACGCACAGAGGAAAGGACAGAAACCACTTAACTGATGCCAAGATACCCCGGCAGTGACAGAGACAGGGGCCCACGGCTGGAAGGGGCAGAACACCACATCACCTTCTTCAAATGAGAACATTTTTGTTTCCCTAGAGATGTGAATAGGGATTCTATTATCATAGGTTGCCACAGTTCTTCATGTGGGAACACTGATTAAAACCAGAAGAAGCTTCAGGAGATGAAAGACACAAATATGGCTTCTGTGGTCATTATTAAAAATATTTTTAGCATTGCAATGGTTTTCTTTGAAGATGCAGTTTTATCGACTGAACCAAAAGTTAATTTGCATACTATCATATGAATGGCCAGGAAAAAAAAAAAGAAATCTCATTCCATATTATGTTATGATGCGAAATAAATGCTTGTGGGAAGGATAAGGCTGATTTAGCTCTACTGAGTAAAAAATAGTGTATTATTTTTACATTTCAATACTTTTCAATTCCAATTCATACTAATACAGTATGACCCCTCATCAAAACTATCAGGCTTCTGTGTCTGTGCCATAACAGCAAGAACCCCCCCACAACAGAACAGTTGATATAAGCTAAAGAAAAACCATCAAAAAGAATTATCTTTGTTTAAAATTGCAATTTTCAAAGTTCCTAGAAAACAACTCTCCATTTCTTAAACCAGACAGTTAAATTTTGATGTGATGCCATGAGGGAAATTGATTAGCTGATCATTTTTTCCTTTACAATGTGGAGGCACTCCACATGTAGTTTAAGAATTGTATCCTGCTCATTCTACATATCCATGCAAACACACAGACAATTTTTGAAAGTCCTCAAATGCAGGACTTGCAAATGCAAGAATTGCTAGTCAGAATTAGAGACCTAATTAGCATTGGTCTAAGCCAGAGAGCAGCCACAGTGAGTGTCTGATTATACTTGAATTATACCACCTGAGATTTGATCAAACCTTGACTGAAGCATCTGTCTTGTAAAAATGTACATTCCTGGAAATGTACAGACATGAAGAGCTGATACTTGTGTTCTCTGGCAGTGTGTGAGCTGTCATATATGTGAACTTGCTATCCTTGTGAAATTTTGACTCTAATCATCAAGGTAATTACTTTCCATCACTTTTTTTGTTAAAAAAAAAAAATCTGTCTGGCCAGATCTTTTCTGGAACATGTTGGAAGCAGGCAAGTTAGGTTATGAGCAAAAGAGACAGCTCCCATTATTTCTAAATGTATTCTGTCCCTTTTGTCTTTTTATTTGTACAATACAAACATGCTGTATTAGCCAGAGCTTTGCAGCTGCTGGCTGGTCCTCAGCCACAAGATGCAAACACACTTGCTTGCCTTGTGATTCTTTATCACTGGAAGTAAGAATGCGTGATGTGACCTCATAAGAATTTCTGTTCCTTAATACACCCATTTGTTTTCTTTCTTTGTGAAGTTTTAAAACTGTTGTTCCCTTGTCAAGTGTGGCAGGCTGAATCCCTTTGGCAATTTTATCAGGATGGGCCATAGCCACTGTGTGGATGAAGGGAGTGGTCAGTTGCACAACCATTATGGTGTGATATGACAAAAATGAACATTTTGCAGCTGGCAGCATGTAATCCCAGCCTCCCTCCTACTTCATTGGCTCCATCCTGCTTAAATCCATTCACATAACTCCGGATTTTGAGTTATGGTCTATGCATGTACAAGCATGATATGCTGAAATGTCTGACTATTTCATCCCCTATCTGCCTAGTTAAAAAGAAAAAAAAAATTGCTTTTTAAAGTATTTTCATGAGGCTTGCTTATGGCATATCAAGTAGAACTGCTTCTCTGAATCACCAAGGCATAGACAGAATAAGATGACAAGAGATACCAGGTTTGTAAGAGAAGGCTGGAATAACAGCTCAAAGGAAAGACTCAGCTGGGAAAAAACCAAGGACATGGTGACTCAGTATTGCTAAATGGAAAGAAAACAGAAAGGAAAAAGAGATTGATAATCACATACATTTCTGATGGGGAAATTAAATGAATGGTATAAATACAGAAACTAGAAATTATAACTTATTGCACTGAGTATATAAAATAACATTTGTTCACCAAGACTAACATTTGCTGAAGGGATTTCCATTTCTTTGGCCTTGTAACACAAAACTCACCAAATTCAAACAGTCCTTTAATGGTAGGTAATCTATCCACACACTTCTTATTTCTGATCCACTTGAGAAATCATGTATGGCTGATGTTTGAATGCACAAATGCCAAGGTTTGAATGCAGAAATGTTGGTGCTTGAATTAATAGAAACTGTTAAACATCACATGGCAAAGCAGAAACATTATGTGCAAAGTACCATAGTACTATGTGCAAAATTGGTTGTTAATTCACTTTCATTTCTGACAACTGGAGTAATTTTATATATAGTAATTCCAGAAGTTTTTCTCCTATTTTAGCAAATTATGATGACAGAGTCTTTATTTTGACTGCACTTTACAATAAGCTTATAAGGACATGCATTAAAAAACCAAAACAAGGAATAGGCATTAAAAACATACCATACTACAAACTGCCTTCCAAAAGCAATAGTAATGTTTGTCATTTCAGAATTCTGCTAGTTTCAAGTGCAACCTGACACAGCTGATCCTATTTCAGTTCTGTGGGATTAAGGGTCAAGACAAAGACCCTGATGTGTACCTTGTGCAGATTAGGAACTCTGCAGATCCTGTACATGCCATACAAATTACAAGTTGCTGTATTTGAACTGTTTCTAGGTTCTTTAGCAGAAGACACATAAGTGGCAGTGCTTTCTAGATCCATTCTCCTTTGCTACACCTTCATTTGGAGGCATTATATACTCTTCCCTCCTCCCCCTGCCCCAGCTGCTTGTGCTCAGGCATTTCTGTCCCCTTTACCAGCCAAACGTTCATTCTGAGCCATATCCTCCACTTGCTGTCACACAGCCCTCTGTGAGAGACATGGAGTGTTCTGTTCAGAAACCTTACAAGCAAACATTCTTCAACCTAAGCAAAGAAAGGAGTATCCAGTGTGTGCACCAAGCATGTCCTAATGGTACTGGGAATGGACTCTTAGACATGGTCCCTGTCTAGGCAGCTCTCTAAACTCTTATCTGAAAATACTCTCATGTTTTACTTCTGCAAAGAAGTAAAATTTACCAGAACTTTTTCTTGTAAAAAGTTTTTTATTCCCTGAAAACGGCTATGCAAGTATTTTCCAGATCTAATTAGGCACATCTACAAAAACTTGATGAGCAAGTATGTGTTCAAGAAGAAGTAGAGCAAATTCTACTTTGTAAGAAGAAACAGCAATTAAGAATACACAAAATGTATCCAGGAGGACCACACATCTGATGCCTTTGACGCTGTGACCATCTGGAACTGCCACTTCTGATCTTGCAAAGCATGGCCAATGTTTACCAGAGGAGAACCATAGTACTTGAAATCATTAGTAACAACTAAAACGAGGACAAAAGGATGCCTAGAAATTTTAAGTGAAAAATCACCTTAGGAAGTGAAGCTTTAGGCTTCCCCGACTCCTGGGCTGAACGAGAGCCTAAATGGTGAGAGGAGCGCAGGCTTGGCCGGGAGCTGGGGCAGCACACTGCGGGCAGGCGGGATGCTCACCCTTCAAGCTCCGGCTCTGCTGCCCCAGCTTTTCCCCCAGTGACACAAACAATCGCACGCCCCTCTCCCTTTAACTGCCTCCATTCCGCAGACCCAAGCTATCGAACCACTTTAACAGAGAGACGTGCTGCTCTTCTTTCTCTTACACCACGCTTTCATAGGAAATCCCTAGCTCCCAGTTCAGCAAGGAGCTGAGCTGTGGAGAGCCTCAAACACCCACGAACTGCACGGAAAATCACCCGCTGCGTGCTTGCACGAGCAGCTTCGAGCCCGGCACGGCTCCGGCGAGCAGGAAGGGACGTCGTCGCGACCTCGAAGAGGCGCTGCCGGCCGGCAGAGCCCTTCCGCGGCGGGCTGAGGGTGTGCGGAGCTCGGGCAGAGGCTGCCCCGCTCCCCCGGCGCTCAGCCCGGCGAGGAGCTCGGGGAGCAGCCCCGATCGCGCCCCCCTCCCGGCTCCCCGCGGAGCGGCACTCACCGGACAGGACGGGCTCCCGGCAGCAGCTCAGCGCCAGCCCGGAGAAGGCCAGGACGGCGGCGAGGGCGGGAGGCTCCATAGGCAGCGGCCGCCGGGCCGCGCCGCGCTCGCAGGCGGCAGCCCCGGCTCTCCGGGGGTGGCAGGCGGCCGGGAAGAGCGCAAAGTGCGGGAAGCGGAGGCCCTACAGCATGTGTCCTGTAAGTGCGCCCCGGCGAGGTGCCGAGTGGCAGATGAGGGATCCTATTACCAGCCATGTGACAGGAAAAGATAGAGACCGACATCCCAACCTGCTGCAGCGCGGGACCGCAGGGCTGCCGCTTCCACTTCTGACACCGACAGGTTCGGGCTGGTGGCGTGCAGCCCCGGGGCAGCGCTTTGGCCCCGCGGAGCCCTCCTCGCTGGCCGGGATGCCTCGCCACACACACTGACACACACACACACACACAAACACACAAACTCCTCCATCCCAGCAGCGACCCAAGCCTTGCTCTCGTCACTCCCCTCGTAGCCAGTGTCCCGCGGAAGAGGTCGGGCAAGAGCCCGTCAGCCCCGGGGCCTGGCGCGGCCGGCCGCTGCCCCTCCGCCCGCTGGGCTGTCCTGGGGGTGTCGCAGCCGATGTGCGAGCGCAGGTGCAGCCCGGCTCTGCTCTCCTGAAGCCGCGAAGGCACGGAGGGACAGGGCACAAGGAGGGAACGCTGCAAACTTTCTGAGGGACGCGGACACGAGCGGCTCCGCGGGCGGCGAGGTGCCAGCGCCGCACGCTGCGATTTGAGGCGTCGTTCTAAAAGTGACGAGGCACCATCCGGCCCACAGAAGTGACCGGGCGGCGGAGCCGTGCCGGGGAGCGCTGGCAGAAAGCAGCGCGGCTGCTGAAGCCGCCGTGTCCGCCGTAGGCCGCGTCCCGAGGCTGGCGGAGCTGAGGCCGGGCGGGAGCCGCTGTCCCCGCCGCGGGTGGCAGGGAGAGGAACAGGGACAGCCGCACAGCCAGCCAGCCACACCAACAGCAACACAGACAGCCACACAAACAGCAACACAGCCGCACAGACAGCCACACAAACAGGAACACGGCCAGCCACAAGCGCCCACCACGCCCAGGGACCCGGGACATTGGCGGGCGGGCACGGGGATGTGAGGGGACACCCACGCCTGCAGCGCAACACACACCCAGAGCGAAGGACACAAACAGGTCCCCAGCCGAAAGGAGCATCCTTGCGTTCTGAAAATGCACGTGCCGGAAGATAAGGTTTGGGTTTGTGGTTTGTTTGGTTTGGGGTTTTTGTTTGTTTGTTTTCCTTCATACCAAAGTGTCAAGGTGGTAATGTCAAGCAATCGCCTAAACTTCTACGAAGTTCTTACCTGGCCTGTGAGACGTTTTAGTAATGATAGAACAGCTTTGGTAAGAAGCAACCAACGTGAAAAATACCCCCACACTAACAGTTAAAAAAAAAACATTTAAAAAGTTGCTTTGTCAGGAAAAGAAATAGGGCAAACATCCTTTGTACAAGGTACATCCTTGTACTCCCTTTACAACACTGCTGTGTAATCAAATAGCAACCCATACAGGGAGAGAACAATTTGCTATTCTAAAGGGGAACAATCAAAATACAGTTTGTAGGCCTTAACTATTGTATCAATACACAGTGTGGCTGCATCTCACTTCTAGCATACAGAAACCTTCTACCATATAAAGCTGTAAGGTTGATTTTGAGGGGGAAAATGCTTACATTTCTTTTAGCCTTTGTGACACATAGAAAGCAAAAAATGTATCTAGTAGCATGGCTTTACACATAGATTTTAATATCACAGCATACTATGCCACATTCTTATTTCTTTGAGCTGAATTCCTAGTGAATGTAGCATTTTTTAGCTGATAGAATACTGAAAAACAATAGCAGTGTTCTGTTAGCTTGGTGCTGTGCTTTTTTTTTTTTTTTTTTTTTTTTTGTGACAAGTTCAGAAGTATTTAGTTCTTCCTCACACATACAATCTTCTTTCCAAGGGCTGTAACCCGTTTTAGTTTCCATTCACTCAATTTCGATTCCATTTTATCTGGCATTCTATTACCTGTGGACACTGGAACAGAGAAGGCTTAAAAAATTTGTAACAGTTGCTAACAAAGTTCAGAAAATCAACAGTATCTCCATCTCAATCCACCAGTATTCCCAGGCAAAACCATTTTCATTTACTATGCTGCCCTCTTTCTCCACCAATCAGTTGCACATGCAATTGATAAGTGTTTATACATCAGTTGCACTTTTTTTTTAACCTGTAGCACACTGGCAGTTTGTTGCCAGTGGTCATTATTATTATTATTGAAAAAGTCATAGCAGTTGCTATTTCTTTAGGAGGTTGATTTGTGTTTTCAGTTCAGTGAAGGCTTACCTCTCCTTTCTGCATAAATAACCCAGACGTCCCAGGACTGCAAGGCCGACTATTCCAAATATACTGCCAATAACAATTACTTGTTTGATAGCTGGAAAAAAGAGACCAACCACAAAAAAAACCCATGAAGACTTTGATATCCATTTCTTCATATCTGTTTGAATGCAGTCACATGACCATTTCTGAAATTGTACATATTGTGTTAACTTTTCTGTTCTCTTTATTTGTGGAGCTGCCTCCCTTGGCAGGGGGATTGGACTAAATGATGTGCAGAGGTCCCTTCCAACCTTTTACCCTTTCAGAGTCTCTGAAACTGGTAAGGATTAGGAACTCACAGAATTCCTACATTTGACTGTTAGGGCAGGTAGCTGCAAAAGCTTTGTAACACAAAGGGTGGCTAGTGGTTAACATTTAGTCAACATTTTGAATGTGCAATATTGATGTGGAACTGTCAATCCCAACTGAAATGGTTTTCCATCCTTATTCCATATGGTTTGATTACTTTAAATAGTACCCCTGTTTTGGCATTAAATTTTGAAACTGCCTTTGCTACTTAATAATTTACATAAAAGAGAAGTGACTGCTCTGGTGTGGGTACAGTAAACTGCATCAGAGAGTTTGAACACACTAAAACAGGAATAGTGTGAACTTGATTCTGTGACTGCCTAACAAGGACACCTGAAAGAGAGAAAGAAACCAGCTGTGAAACAAAATTTGAATAAAAATTATCATTTTGTTTTCTTATTCTACTAAGCAGTGGCAGATTAGCATGACACATAAGAATATTTGTAAAAGTTAGGGGATGCAGCATGTGGAGTGAACTGTCTGGGAGAAACAATGACTCCTGCATTTTGTATCTGAGCCTTAACACATTGGGGCTGCATTTTTGTCAGCCCTTCCTTCCATCACATTGTCACACCTGCCCAAACCACAGCCTAGCACTCAGTGATGGCAGAGTGACACAACAGACACTTCTGTGATCCTAGAACAGATTATTCAGCTGCTGATTTGATTTATAGTGAAGTTTAAGGAAAGAAATGGGATACACAAACTGTTTCACAAGCATTGGTCCATCATCCAGTAACTTCTGAGCAAGGCTCAAAACCCAATTTTTGGCTTACACATCCTTCACAGGGAGGCACCCAGTCTCTGCTGAGTGATGAGAACCCACCACTACTGGCTAAAGTAGTTAGTCCAGTAGTGATTTGCCTCTGTTGTGAAATCTTTGTGTTTAGAAAAAAAGCACAGAAGACTAATGAGATTTCTGACAGCTTTTCAAAATGAACAGCATTTACACAGAGGCTGAGACTGGAAAAAGAAATCTAAAAGTGAATAGAGGAGGGGGGGGGAAAGGAGAAAGTTACCCAAAAGACAAACAAAACTAGATTACCCTTAATTTCACCATATTGTCTGTCTCAAAAAGACTGTATGTACATATGTTGCCACTATATTATGATTTTTAGCTGGATATTACATCTGATTTTACTAGAACCTCCTTCCTGCTTTTGTTGGATGGCTTCTTTGTTCTTCCTCTTTGTGATATTCCGTGAAGAGAGCTTGCTGTGGTACTGGCAATACTTGCAGTGGGATTGTAATTAGAAGCATAGCAAAATAATTATTAGCAGAGGATTTCCATGGAAACTTTAGTCCAAGGAAGCAAAACTCAAAAACAACAATGTGCAGACCCAACAACATAATTTGGATTTGTAGTTTCAAAATACCTAAATGGATTTTGTAAAATAACTGGCTTTACATTTTCTTGTTTCCACCTCTTTTCCTATCCAATTTTCCTGGTTCCCGTGCCTTTATTTTAAATATTCTCTTTTGAAAAGGCATATAGCTACTAAAAAACCTTGATGATTTGCAAGACAGAGCTTGAATCTGATGTGCCACAAAACTACAGCATCATGAACACAGCACTGTAAAGAAATACACCTGTAAGCTTAGAATAACAGAGGGCTGGGCCCTGTGCTCCTGGGCAGCATGAAATAAATTATTTGACAAAGTGTGTGTTTAATAGTTCACTTTCAAAGTAAAAAAGTGACTGTTGATCACAGTGGCTAGGTCAGTGGTCACCCATCCAGGCACCCAGAAATTGGGAAAGGCTGTCCATTAATTTTGTCAGCATTTTCGTGGTGTCAAGAAGGTCTTTGTCACAGGACTGGATAAAATGGGTGTTAGTAAAACAGCAGCATGCTGCTGTGTAAAGAGAAAAACAATAAAGAAAACTGACCTCAGGAACAACAGATTTTGACAACACAAGGACCTTTTCTGTACTGGACAAGAGAAGGCTTGGGGGATGGAGAATAGAGAAAATAGCCAAATAGAGAAGTAAGACAAGGAAAACTGGCACTGGATTTCAACTATGTCTTGGATCAGAGGCAGAAATGTACTTAGTGGAAAGCAAGTACTGGCTGTCGATGGTATAAAAATATGAGAAGTTTAGATATAAGTGAAAGGAACTTTGAACTGTATTGCCTCTCTTCTCAGTAGAGACCTGGGCCTGTCAATAAAATAGCCTTCTCAGACAAACACTGGCATCTAGCAGAACACCTTTGGGAAGAAGAAGAAACAAGGCTAGATATAAATGCCACTAGTAGGGCATAGCAGTAAGAAAAAAATAATGGAGAAATTTGTATTTTATATTCTGTTGCAGTATTGGTATTGTCAGTTGTTGGTATTGTCAGTATCCTGCTGCTGTGGATGGCATTGCCATACTCCAACTTCCTTGCAGCTAATAAAAACCATCAGTTTTGGTTCACATTGCAAATTAACTAGAACACCAAATATCAAATAGTAAGGAAGATCTTAGTTG